TTGCCAGCAGTGTTTTGTTCTGACTCCAGCAACCAAGAGATTTAAGCCTGTCCGTGTGCAGAGTTTCTCATGGGTGAATCTTGGGCTGTGCCTGTGGTTATCTGTGTTCATGTTGCTCAACCACAGCTGCTAATTCCAGCATTGTGTTAGCTCTGCAGCAGGGAGCCTCTAAGGCAGATTAATGACTTTGAGGCCTCAGGCAAACTGCAAGGAGTGTTCATGTGCTTTCCCTAGCTAGAAGGCTGTGGAAGAGGAATGAAAAGGAAGCCTGAAAGAGGTTAAGAGAATGTATAATGTTCTGTATGAGTTGCAGTTGAGTCCATTGGAAGGATGACAGGAACCAGTGGGAGAGAAAGATACAGGAACTGAAATGGCTGAAACTTCGTGGCTTAAATAGAAAAAAAATGAGAAGGTGTTTGCTCAGATTAAGGAAATGAATCAGATGAGCTTGGTGTGAGTCAGCCACATAATTCATGCTGATCCTTTACAGGTTTTCTGAGGTCCTGGTGTAATGTGATTGCATTTCCACCTGTGGGTATGACAGACCTTCCTCAGATCATCCAGAGCTTTCTTGCACCCATGCTCACAAGAAGTGTCTGAGTGAATTTTAGGTGGACTATAATAATAGAGTGCCATACTAGCAAGCTATTGAAAGAGCAGGGCAATAGTATGTGCTTAAGTATGTGATGAGAAACCTCTAAAGAACTGGGAGTAGTTTACAACTAGGCTGTATCTTGGTGGTTGCTGCAGTGTTTCACAGGTCCTTCTGGTTCTGTGTCACTGCTACATCTGCTTGTCACCTTTCAGCAGGAACCCTGTTTCTGCTGCAAATGGTATATGCAAGTAGTTTGTGTCCTTGCCAACACATGCTTCTGCAGGACTGCTCCCTGCTATAAATAACCACTGCCAAATTTGACAAGCTGGACTGAGCTGCCTGCTGAAGTGCCTCTTAGGAGTGGGCTGCAGGAAGGACCTCACTTGCACTTGCACTGACTCAGAGTAGTAGCTGAGGAATCATTTTAGCATTGCAGTTAGTTGCATTTAACACCTTGCACTGAACAGAGCTACTAGAGTCCTTGCTAGTATAACTTCCCTCCTTCTTTTATTTTTCCTGACTGCCTCAGGGATGAAGTCCAGCAGAGCTTGCCTCCCAGCTGGGTGTATGTGTGAAGGTGTACGTGGGGAAAATAGCAATAGCACCACTTCAGTTTAAAAAGCAGCAAGAAGAACATTTCAAAGCACTTGAATCATTCTGGGAAACTTCCGTGCATTAGCAGAAAGTTGATTTTGGGGTAGGGAGTGCAAGGAGGCTTTTGTAGGCCATGTCCCATTGGGGTTCCTAGAGCTAGTTTTGTGAAATGCTGAGTAGTGCAGCTCTGGCTGCACCAACAGAGTTATGTGAAAGAAAGTGTTTGAACTGCCATTTTCCTTGAATTTCCTGCTCCTGAAAGCTAATCAGCAATTCTCTCTGGGTGAAGGTGACTTGGAAGAACTGAGCCAAACAAATCTGGAAAACTCAGGTTCTGCCTTGTTAATATTCCTTGATTTTAATGCATGTATATCCCTCTCTTTTCCCGCTTCATGCTGGGGATTAACAGTCTGTCGTTTTCTCTGCTCGCTCCATGCTGGGAGTGTTTTCTGGCACAGAAGAGTCCCAAGCATCTCAATTTTATGAACAGGATCCTGATGTGTGTACGTAATGATCCTTTTAATATAGCAGTAGGCAGCAGAAATAGAATCGTGGAGGGGGTTTCAGTGTAGGTTAGAATGACGGTGCTGGGGTTGTTGAGTTTAGATCATTACTTCCCTGTTCATCAGATCAGGTTATAGGTTCCCCCCCACCCCTGAGTTTTGTCCACTTTTGCTGTCATCTTCAGATTGAGCAACTTAGGAATCTTTTTTTGGCCACATAAGTCAGAAGCTGCCTCATGCCTTCTTCAGCCAGCCACGTGTTCATGCATGCTCTCCCTGACGCGATGGGGAGATGATCCTTTTCTCCTCATAGAGATGAGTGCGGGTGGATGTGAGCTTTGTGAGAAGCAACCAAGCCAAACAGTCACTTTTGTTGCTTCCCTTTTTCCCCAGGGTTTCCTGTATTTACTTTCCTTCTTTGGGTGGAGCTGGAGCAATTTACCTTTATAATAGTTAAGACTAACTGATAAATCCCAAGCATTCTGATATTCATTTTGCTGCGGTTGTTAAAACATTAATACAGATTTAAAAGCCTATTAAGCCTATTCCACACTTAAACATGTCTAATGACTGTGCTGCAAAGACCTCCCTTGAAACACTGAGTTAAAAAGTCATTGGAATTGGTCACCAAATGCCTCCATGAGCTGAATAGAATTCAGAGGGAATGATCACCCCCGTGATGGAAGCCTTTATTCTTTAACAAACCACAGAAATCTGTTCTTGACTTCTCTTGCAGCTGAGCGTGCTCTAGATACCATGAATTTTGATGTGATCAAAGGAAAGCCCATTCGCATCATGTGGTCTCAGAGGGACCCCTCCTTGAGGAAGTCAGGGGTTGGGAATGTCTTCATTAAGAACCTGGACAAATCCATTGATAACAAGGCACTTTATGACACATTCTCAGCGTTTGGGAATATTTTGTCCTGCAAGGTGAGATGTGGTTGCTTTGTCCCATTCTGTTCTAGTGGTGACGTGATCAGACACGTCCAGTGTAGGAAGCAAAAGGGACACCTTTCACCGAGTGAGGAGTGGAGTCTGTAAAGACAGAGATGACCAAAAGCTCAGGGTTTGCTGAAGTTACCTCAGATTGGGTCATGAAGTGCACAAGTGTGAAACACAGATAATGTCTTCCTAGTGCTGCTCCTTGGCAGTAACCGATTTCTGTGTGCTGTGTCTGAGTGTGACAGAGGCAGAAAACATAGAGAACTGACATTCTGTTCTCCTTCCACGTAGGTGGTGTGTGATGAGAATGGCTCTAAGGGCTACGCGTTTGTGCACTTTGAGACACAGGATGCTGCAGACAGAGCCATCGAGAAGATGAACGGCATGCTGCTGAACGACCGCAAAGTGTGAGTGTCACAGCCAGCAGCACCAGCGAGCGCATGACCCGGGATGCATCTCGGTATTAACAGGGACACACAAGGCACTGGTTCTCCTGGCCCCAAGCCTTGGCCTGCTACCTCTCCACTACAGGGCTGGTGAGTGACCCTGCCCAAGCCATGGCCTGCTACCCCTCCATCACGGGCCTGGTGGGTTTCCCTGACCAAGCCTTGATTTGCTGCCTCTTCACTAGTGGGCTGGGGTGGGTTTCTGTGGCCAGTACTCTCCACGGCAGAGCTGGGTAGGCATTCCTGGCCAACTGTAGGACAGGTGATTTTTCCATTTGGTCTGTGGCCTGTTTGTCCTTCTCTTCTGCTGTCACTCTTGTCCCTATGCCCAGCTTCTACTACACACTCATTTTTTGCCTCGCTGCAAGTCACACATTGCTTTTTGCAGTCTTGAGAACAAGTTGCTTACTGGGCTTTTCCTTCTTTCTTACAGATTTGTTGGGAGATTCAAGTCTCGTAAAGAACGGGAGGCTGAGTTGGGAGCCAAAGCAAAGGAATTCACCAATGTTTATATCAAAAACTTTGGGGATGACATGGATGATGAAAGGCTAAAGGAGCTCTTCAGCAAATATGGTAAATTCAGAAACACTTCTAATGAGGCTGTGAATTTCATGACCCCTGGCAGTTTAACAGGACCAGTGTCTAGTTCTGCCTGGGTCGCTTGGAAGCTGAGGAACATAGTTGATGTGTGGGTACTAGTTGTGCCAAGTGTTAGACAGGAGGCAGAGGCTGATGAGGAGATGAGAGACGGGGGGCTGAGAGTTAGTCTTGAAATAGTTCTGTGATATTTTACTAACCATGTCCCTTGGTAACAGGTAAAACTCTGAGTGTTAAAGTGATGACAGACCCCACTGGAAAATCCAAAGGCTTTGGCTTTGTAAGCTTTGAAAAGCATGAAGATGCTAACAAGGTATGACTGGTTTTTATGCTGCTTGGGTATCTTCAGAGAAGAAAAACTTGGTTTATAAGGGGAGAATGTGAAAATGAGAGAAAACTCTGCCTCAGGCATAACCTCTTCCAGGTTTGGGAACTTAGAAACCTTTTGCACCTTACTAGCTTGATATTAAATGGTAACTTGGCATTTTTCCAGCTTCCTAGATCCACACAGAATATAGTGCTATAATCAAGAGCATTAAGTGCTGAAGAAATATTACAGTGCAGGGTTTAAAGGGGGAAGCATCTAGAGTGAGAACATTGCTTGGAAGTGGTCTTCTCAGAGCAGCAGGCTTACTAAAATTTGGCCTTAATTTCAAGAAGAGATGGGGATAAATTCCCAAGTTGCATTAGTCCTGCAGGTAGAGTGGTGGTGTCAGTGTGGGCTCTCCTGATCCCTTCAGCTTGTCTGTAATTAGCCTGTTATTACACAGTGCAAAGATAAAGGGTCAGCCTTGGTTTATTGCCCAAAGGGCAGTGATACAGTGTGAGCTTTGGACAGCCCTGTTTTCAACAGGAATAGTTGCTGTCTCGCTTTAGCACTTGACAGTTTCCTCTTGACCCCTCTGTCCAGGCAGTAGAAGAAATGAATGGGAAGGACATCAATGGGAAGATGGTGTTTGTAGGCCGAGCACAAAAGAAGGTTGAGCGCCAGGCAGAGCTGAAACGGAGGTTTGAACAGCTAAAACAAGAGAGACTCAGCCGGTACCAGGTGAATTGTCTGTTCCTCTCCTGAATTAAGGCACCATTTTCAGTCTGTTGGCAAAGTAGACGTTGTCCTGTGACAGATCCTGGGAGTTAAAATGTAAAGGTATCTGGGGACAAAGGGGAATCAGGGCATAGTCTAGGCAATGCAAGTGTGTAGGAGGACATGAGAAAGCAGCCAGTCTCCTTTGCTTTCAGTGGGGTTACATAGAAGGATGAGAGACAGCAAAACCCTCTACTGTTGTCTCTAATTTATGGCAAAACTGGGTCATGTCAGAGATTGCATCAAATCTTTCCCAGGTCATGAGATACAGTGCTGAACTGGGGATACATGATGCAACAGAAAAGCAGAGGAAATCCAGACAAGCTCCCTTTCACCACAGTGGGACTTGTCTCTACGCCTTTGCAACATTTATTTCAGCTTTGGGTGGTATGAAGGGAACACGATGCTAAAAAGAGTGTTTCAGATAAATTACAGCTCTGGCAGATGGATGCTAACAGTCAATGTTTTTCTTTGATGTTATGAATGCCTCATTGTTCTCTCCCTTCTAGGGTGTTAATCTATATATTAAAAACCTAGATGACACCATAGATGATGAAAAACTGAGGAAGGAATTCTCACCTTTTGGCTCAATAACAAGTGCCAAGGTATTGTGGGCTTGGGGGCTATTTGGATTTTAAAGCCTGAAGAAGGAACTGTATCTGACCTGGAATTGAAGGGCAGTTCTTCTATTCCCTTATCATTGTGATCCTGAGAACATGTGGGCTAATAAACACACAAATTTCTTTGGGTCTTGGTGGGATCTTACTGAAAAATTGCTTCATTCCCTCATCAAAAGAGGAGGCAGGAAGTGGGAAAAGTGCTCGTTGGAGGTGACTCCCAGTAAGCATGACATGGCATTTTCCTTTAGAGCTTGCACCAAATCTTTCCCATTCCTTACTGCTCAGTGTGGGCCTGGGGACACATGGTGCGTACAGAAAGGCAAAGTAAATCCAGGCAGGTGACTTCTCAGTGGGTACCTGCCTCTACACCTCTGCAACAGTTACATCCAACCTGCCCGAAATGTGATGTATTAAAACGTGGGTTCTTAGCTTAAGTTCTTGTTCTGGTGCTCCACTAGCAATTGATCTTTACTGCAGGTGATGCTGGAAGATGGACGGAGCAAAGGGTTTGGCTTTGTCTGCTTTTCCTCTCCAGAGGAAGCCACAAAAGCTGTGACAGAGATGAACGGGCGAATTGTGGGCTCAAAGCCGTTGTATGTGGCACTTGCCCAAAGGAAAGAGGAGCGAAAGGCCCATCTGACCAACCAGTACATGCAGCGCATCGCTGGGATGAGAGCCCTGCCTGCCAACACAATCATTAACCAGTTCCAGCCTGCTGCTGGGGGCTATTTCATGCCTGCTGTGCCCCAGGTAAGCTGAGCTAGTGTGGATTTTGAACGTCTTGGAGCTGTGGTGGTTCAGCTGCAGTAATGTCACTGAGCCTTTCTGCGCCTATAAACAAGTAACTCCTAATGAGGGGTGCAGGCAGTGGAGTTAATTCTGTGACTTCACTGCCTAAGGTGACTTGAGTGTTGAGTCCTGGCAACAGCTGCCAAAAACATGTTGTGAGCAGTGTTTGCTACTCACTTAGGTGTTGTCTCTGAGCTTGTCTAATCTTTCTTCAGGCTCAGAGCAGACCCACTTATTATGCACCCAATCAAATGGCACAGATGAGACCCAACCCACGCTGGCAGCAAGGAGGAAGACCTCAAGGTGAGAGAAACATTTTTGGCTGTATGACCTTTTTGGCTGTACTTTCCAACAAGACCGACGCGCATGCTCTCCTTGGTGTACACAACCCCAACCTGCTTCCTGTAGCTGACTGTCCTGACTTGCCAGTCGGTTCTGTTTTGAGGATTTCCCCTCATTTCTTCCATTAGGCTTCCAGGGAATGCCAAATGCCATGCGCCAGTCTGGACCACGGCCAGCACTGCGCCACCTGGCCCCTGCTGGCAATGCCCCGGCCTCTCGTGGCCTCCCTGCTGCTGCCCAGCGAGTTGGTAAGGTGTCTGCTTCCAGGCTCTCCCCTTGTCTGTGAGGGGCGAGGATGCTCTCGAGATCTGACTTCTGCTTCCAAAGATGGTTGTCAGATACAGATAACCAAAGACCATTAGACTCAATGGGCAGAGACAGCACCTGAGTCTTCCCTATTGCTCGCTGTGCATTGCAGATCTGGGGGCAGTTGGTGCACAGCAATGGAAATCCAGATGGGTTGTTCTCCACTGGTTTGAATCTCTTTCCTACACCTCTGCGACATTTACCACTTAAAGAGGAAAAAAAAGAAGGCTCTAAGTTATGGATATCATTTTCAGAGTAGAACATCTAAAAATTCTATACCCGTGAATAGTTTAGAAAGTACCTGAAGTGCCACATGTGGAATCCCTGGGTTACTGTCAGGGAGAATAGCTCGTTCCCCTGAAGTAGCCAGTTGCATTTTGCAGACTGGTTCCTAAAGAAGTTCTTCTGAGTGTAGTTTGGCTTCAGCAGTTAACAGCAGACATCCCAACTTGCACATTGCTGCAGGTGTCTGTAGATCTGGTCTCTTCCTCTCTTGCAGGAGTGGGTGCTGCAGCACAGAGCTTGGCCCCTCGCCCGCCCGTGGCTGCCCCGGCTCCCAGAGCAGTTCCTCCCTACAAATACGCCTCCAGTGTCCGCAGCCCGCACCCGGCTGTGCAGCCCCTGCAGGTACCATGAGGGGCTGGCCTGGGGACTCTCTCCACTCGCTGCAGTCCAGCAGGGTTTATGTGCATCTCAAGTGTTTCTGCAGAAACCTGAAGCTACTTTTATAACCCAGACAAGCATCGTGATTTGGAATTCAAAAACCTGGCGGTTGTACCTTTGCCAGAGGCAGTTGTTTCACCTGCCTTGTACTTGCAAACCGTTTTCCACCCAGATTTGCTGTAAGGGTGTTTTTCTTGGTTCTTTGCTTTCCCATTTTGCAGCCATTTGTTCTCTAACCTCTTTGTCCCATCCTCTCTCGGGGGTCATTGGTCAGTTTGCTTCTCCCACAAACCTGTGTAGTAAAAAAAAGCAGGTGTGGATGTTGCTCTTTCTCAGTTGCAATGTTTTTTTGATCCAGTTTCTGCAAGATACTTACAGTGCCCATGTGTGACACTGAGTTCAGGACTTGGAAGGGAGCATGTTTGTGAGCCAAGGGCACCTTGCCTGTCCTTTCCTGAAACACCAGTCTGCTATAGGCTTGACAAAGGTTGTGTTTTTGAAGGAGGGAATGGATGTTGTCTGATTGTCTCTAAATATGAAGCAATCAGCCTAGTACCTGATTCAGAACCCTCATGTCTGCCCTTCCATAGGCACCTCAGCCTGCAGTCCATGTGCAAGGACAGGAGCCACTGACCGCCTCCATGCTGGCTGCTGCCCCCCCCCAGGAGCAGAAACAGATGCTGGGTAAGGGAAACTCCATCAGGTTTCAAAGATGACTTTGTAATTGAAACTTAGCTCTCTGAGCTCCCTTCTTTTGTAACCCCCAGGAGAACGTTTGTTCCCTCTGATCCAAGCTATGCACCCCAGCCTGGCAGGGAAGATCACAGGAATGCTACTAGAGATTGACAACTCAGAGCTGCTGCACATGCTAGAGTCTCCGGAGTCCCTCCGGTCCAAGGTAGATGGCTTGTTCTGTTAGGTTGGGTGGGGAGCTCTGCTCAGGAGAGCTGCTCTCATGCCTGAATTGTCTCCTGAGGTGGAGGAGGCCGTTGCAGTGCTGCAGGCTCACCAAGCCAAGAAGGAAGCTGCCCAGAAGGTGGGCGTGGTTGCTGCTACCTCTTAAACCGGGAAGACTGGTGAGTGTCTCTGTCCTCAAACTCACTTAAAAGCTTCCACATCGGAGGGAATAAAGTGTGATGGTTTGTGAATGCAGCCAGGCTGGAGACCCATGGGCAGCACTTGTCTGAGTTTACTCCATTCTTTAATAAAATCCAGCTCAACCCAACTCCCTGATGTGTTTTTTCCCCCAATATAATCCTTATTTTGTGGAAGCTTTAGAAATACTCCTCAGAAATCTTACTCATTAAGCATCAGAAAGATGGTAAGTCCCTGACATGTTCCTAGCAGTTGACACGTCAAGGAAGGATTAACATATTGAGTCTTGTGAAGCTGCTAATCTGGGAAATAAAAAGAGACACAAGATGCTTCAGTGACTGTGAGGTCAACACAGTGTGTTCATGCCTGTTCCTTAGGCTGACAATCATCTGCCTACAGTGTGTATTAAGGTGGTGGTGTTGGAAATGTCCTTTCACTGCATGGGTCTGTCCAGGCAAATGCCATCTCCTGTGTTTGGAGCTGGCTCCTGTTTAACCTTAATAAGGTTTTTGATTATTTGAATGCCTCTTCTTGCTTTAATGATCCATTTTTCTGTGGGTTGTCTAGAATTGACAACTTCAGTTCTTTTTGTGATGCTGCTGTGGTCAGATGTCCCAGCTCACAGGGGTGCAGAATGGTACTTCCATCCCTTCCTCAGTGGCTCCAGTTGCTAGCTCCTCTGTTAAGGAATTAAGAGTTTCTTGTCAGATGATCAGAAATGGGTATTTTCCACAGCTGTTAACAGCCTTTCCACACCTTGCAAATATACTTTAACACGTGTGCATTAAATATTAATATAATAAGCTCATGTTGGAGCTGTATTATACATGGCTTGTGCTGGGGGGAGCTTGGCTCTCTGGATTGAGGTGTGCTGGCTGTGGGTAACCTCTGCCCCTTTTCTTCTAGGATGCAAAGAAGCCAAATAGCCCCTTTGTAGCCATCAGCTGAAGATGTTTGGAGGCTCCTCCCTGTCCTGCAGATCTCAATGCCATGCATCCTATCACATAGTTTATTGCATTTTGTAAATTAATCTTTAAGGTCTTATTTAAAAAGCCAGGTCTGAAGCTGTAGATCTCCCAAACCAGAACTGGGCTCGCAAGCTTCTCCCTTGTGGCCAGAACAGAGCTACCCTTTGTGTCTTCTGAGGAGGATGCCTGGGATTTTAGGTTGGAAGTATTTTGTGGTTTTGGTTTTAAACTCAGCAGTCCAGTTTGGAAAGTCTGGAAAGCATTTATCAATAAAGGAATAAAATTCCACTCTGCTATCTTCACTTGCTAAGTGGTGTGATAGAGCTCAGTGCAGTCAACTTTGAGTGTATGGTTGCTATGTGAAGAGTGTGATTGGAGTTGTTACTGCTGACTGTGGAGAAAGGCTGCTTGAGGCTGGGGGGCAGCTGTTTGTCAAGGGCAGGGAGCGTGTGGGGGCTTCCTCTGCATCCCCCCACCGCTGCAGAGCAGCTCTGCTGCCCTTGGGCTGCATTTTAATGCTGGTGTTCCGCAGTTTGGCTGCTCTTGGTGAAAGGGATCCAGTCGGGTGCGTCTCGTGCTTCCTGGGTACTGCTTCCTCCACCTTCACCCCCTAACGCCGCCGCATGCCGGCAGTGGGGTCAGTCCGTGCTTTGAGCCCCTTTGGGTGCTCCGTTCCAATGGAGAGCGCTACCCTTGCCCCGGCAGCCATACCCCGCTCCGCCCGGTGCCTCGGAGCCGCGGGGCGGGAGTCATGTGATTCCGGGTCGCTCCTGTCACGTGGTTCCGGCGCGAAGATGGCGGCCACCAAGAGGGTGCTGTACGTAGGTGAGTACCGGGGCTGCTGTACGTGTCCGCGGCCGCTGCCCGGGACCCGTGTCCGGTGTCCGTGACCGGTGTCCGCCCGCAGGCGGGCTGGCGGAGGAGGTGGACGAGAAGGTGCTGCACGCCGCGTTCATCCCCTTCGGCGACATCACCGACATCCAGATCCCGCTGGACTACGAGACGGGTGCGTGCCCCGGACGGCGCCGCTGGGCGCCCGCGGGAGCGGGTGTCGGTGCTGCCCGTGACCGCTCGCTTCTTCCTCTGCAGAAAAGCACCGCGGGTTCGCCTTTATCGAGTTCGAGCTGGCAGAGGTGAGGCAGGGGCGAGGGCGCTTCCTAACCGGGGGCTTCGGGCGGGAGCTTCCTCCTGGTGGATGCGGTTGGGGGCAGCAAGCGGGGGTTACCTCTGGTGCTGCTCTGCTTTTCCAAGTTCCCACTTTCTTATGGGCTGGAGCACGGACACTGCTCTCTCGGGCGGGTTTCTTGGCTTTGTGTATTTCATAGTATCCCAGCCTGGTTTGGGTTGGAAGGGACCTCAGAGCTCATCCAGCTCCAACCCCTGCCATGGGCAGGGACCCCTTCCACTGGAGCAGCTTGCTCCAAGCTCCTGTGTCCAACCTGGCCTTGAACACTGCCAGGATCTTACAGCCTGTCCTGGGCTTCACACGCAGGATCTCTCCTCCTCTCCCAAACGCTGGCGTCAGCAATAAAGCATCTTAAATAAAATGGGTTTATGGGATCAAACGTAGGAAAAGGAGTCCCATGTACTGGATTGGATACAGCTCCTGCGAGATCCATTGGTTCATATATAGATGAGGTTTAGGAGCACAGTCCCTGGCAGTCTCTTTTGCATGTATGTGCTGAGCTTTGCTTTGAAAGGGAGAGAAGAGGTGATACAATAATGATCTTCTTTCACCTCTTTTGGCAGGATGCAGCAGCAGCGATTGACAACATGGTAGGGACCCTGTTCGCCCAGGGGGACAAGTGGTTTTGCTGCCTTCCCAGCAGTGAGGCCCCGAATGGTGTGAGCTATGCCAAGAGCTCTGTGATTCTCCTCTATGGGGAGCTGGGGGGCACAGTGATTTTTATACCCTTTGGTGGGCTTTGTTGTGCTTTTCTCCTCGGCAGAACGAGTCCGAGCTCTTTGGCAGGACAATTCGGGTGAACTTGGCCAGACCCATGCGAATTAAAGAGGGATCATCCAGACCTGGTGAGTTGGTGTCTGGGAGGGGAGAGCATCCCCATGGGTGTTGAGAGCTTTGTGCATCAGCCATCAGGCCCTAGGGCAGAGAGCTTTGCTCTGCTTCCCATCTGGGGAGCTCATGGGTCTGAGCAGCATCCAAGTAACTTAATAACCACATAACCCAAAATACTCTCTCGTTCCTTGGGTGGAAACCCTCTTGGCTGCACTTCTGATTATCTTCATGCCTGCTGGCAGAGGGCACAGCGTGCACACCATGCCAGGCAAATGGCACACACAGCTGGCCACATCTGTGAAAGCAGAGGGGGCCAAGGCATGCCAAGCACTCGTGCAGTGTGATGGGCAGTGGCAGCGAGCAGGCCACAAGCTTGCCCTGCATGGAGGCACCTCTGGGAGGAAGAAGAGGTGACTTTGTCTCTTCTTTGCCCACATGCTGTGTCTCCTGGGGTAGGC